GAATAGGAGCAATGGGCACATTACTGCAGCGTTATAACAGCCCTCAGCACAGAGTTCAGGGCTCAGACAGATTCCAGCAGATCTCCCAGGTTAAAATCCCTTCCCCACTCCTGCAGCAGAGAGAAAAAGACTGCAGTCCCACAACAACATTTCCCCTTGTTCTATCCCCATCACCTGGGAGAAGAGACCAGCACCCACCTCTCCACAAGCTCCCTTGAGGCAGTTGGAGGTGGTGATGAGGTCTCCCCTCAGCCTTCTCTTCTCCAGGCTAAACAAGCCCAGTTCCCTCAGCCGCTCCTCATCAGGCTTGTTCTCCAGAGCCCTCCCCATCCTTGTGGCTCTTCTCTGAACACGCTCCAGAATCTCAACATCCTTCTTACAGTGAGGGGCCCAGAACTGAACACAGCACTCGAGGTGCGGCCTCACCAGTGCCCAGTACAGGGGGATGATCACCTCCCTGGCCCTGCTGGTCACACTGTTTTTAATACAGGCCAAGATGCCGTTGGCTTTTCTGGCCACGTGGGCACAGTGCTGGCTCATGTGAAGCCGACTGTCAACCAACACCCCCAGGTCCTTCTCCTCCAGGCAGCTTTCCAGCCACTCCTCTCCAAGCCTGTAGCGCTGCACCAGGTTGTTGTTTCCCAAGTGAGGACACCAATGAGTCCATCTGTAAATGCAGCCACCACCTTCCACACCCATTGTAGACTCCACCTGTGAGTAAAGTGGTTTCCTCCCCACCTGCTTTGGGTGGCTTAGACCCCCCCCAAAGGGGCCTGGATAGAGAAACACATGGCAACGGCTGAGAAACAAGTAGCTGGTGGGGCAAACACCATTCATTTTGTGTAGAGACCAGAAAGGTCTCTCTAGGTAATACTTCAGCATGGTCTCTTGTTGGGTATTTGTATTATTTCTGTCCATAAAAGGCACTTATGCATTCTCACTATATACTCACATATGTGATCGATAAGGAAGTGGGCACAGCCACTTCCAACAGCCGAGGCAAGTTCTGCTGGGGATTTCTCTCTTGTCCGTGTCTTGACCACTTTTATTTTAGGCAGGGATGGTTGTGCTTCTGCTGTCATCTGCTGCAGTAATTGTTCCGTCTGTGGCCAGCATGGGAAGCAATATCATGGTCGTCTTCTCACCATCGCTCCTGGGATCTTCTGCCTT